CGACAAAATTCTTCAATTGTTCGTAATGTATCCGTAAAAGTACAACGTGATCCATATGAAAATGATAGGTAAAAAAATATGATTATTTTATATATATATATATTTATATTTTAATATTGTTCTAAAACTTGGCATGTTTTTTGTAAATTTTTTTATAGGGATCGATATGGTTTCAAAAGATCTTATCAATGGATAAGTAATAAAGAATACGTTGATTTTGAAGCTTCTTATTCACATATTTTACAACGAAGAAAGCTTAAATGGGAAATTTTATTAAATGAACATGGAGGAATGATACCCAATAAATGCTCCAAAAGTAAGTTCATTTTTTTATTATTAAAATTGTTTTAAATTTTTCACTCACACACACACACATATATATATTTTTTCGACAATAGTGAAGAGATATGTTCGTAAAGGAATTCCACCATCACTTCGAGGAAGGGTTAGTTTTATTTTTATTTTTATTTTTTTTACATTAATAATACCTTGATAATTATATACAATTAATTAATGTTTTTTATCGATATCATTTTAGGTATGGTTTCATTATAGTGGTGCTGAATCTAAAATGAAGAATAATTTAGATCTTTACCAACAACTTGTACTAAAAACTCAAGATCCACGGCTGGAAAACGAATATTTTGAAGTAATCGAACGAGGTTTGTTATATATATATATATATTTTTTCTAAAAGTTATAACTTATAACAATAACGCATTAAAATATCAATTTATTATATATATTATACATATTATTATAGACCTTCATCGTACTTTTCCTGAAAATATAAAATTTAAATCTACCATCGTATCTGATGATAATAATTCAACTATTCTTTCAACAGACAATGTTCCAATTATTCAATCCCTTCGTCGTGTACTTACAGCTTTTTCATTATATTCTCCTAATATCGGTTATTGTCAATCACTTAACTATATAGTCGGAATTCTTTTGTTATTTATGGAAGAAGAAAAGGCTTTTTGGATGTTAGTAACTATTATTCATGATTATTTGCCTGAGAATATGTATGATGTTACTATGGAAGGTTCAAACGTTGATCAGGCAGTTCTCATGATGTTTATTATGAAAAAAATGCCTAACATTTGGAATAAGATGAATGTAGGTGGTGGTTGGGATCCTGAAAAGCCTGAAAAGTTGGATAGTAATATGCCAACAATTACTCTAGTTACTAGTCATTGGTTCTTAACTCTTTATATTAATATTTTACCGATTGAGGTAGATGTAATATTAATAATTATTCGATATTTTATTATTATAAAAGTAAAAAAATATATCTCTAATATGTAATATATTCAAAAAAGACTTTGCTTAGAGTTTGGGATTGCTTCTTCTAGTATGATAAAGATAATTTCTTTTATATATCATATATTATTTAATCGTTTTAATTTGAAATTAAATAATTATTTTTTTTTATTAATAGTGAAGGTAACAAAATACTTTTCCGTATTGCATTAGCAATATTCAAATTAAATGAAGAAAAGATCTTGGCTGTAGATGACCCTATGGAAATATTTCAAGTAGTTCAGGTAAATTTAATTCTTTATTTTATTTAATTTGTCTTAATAAAAATAATGTTTAAAAAAATACTTTTATTTTTTTTTAGAATATGCCAAAGAAGTTAATTGACTGTCATAAATTAATCGATGTAAGAAATAAATTTATCCTTATTACATTCATATGGGATCTTTGCTAGGAAAATCACCCTTCGGGATTTTCCGAACGGGCCAATTCAGAAAGAACACCAGTTCTTATTTATATGCAAATCATCTTTTACCTTGCCGATATATTAAATAAATTATTGCATCGATAAAGGTAAAAGACGAATTACATATAAATAAGAATTGATATTCTGGTCTAAGTCTTTCCGAATTGACCCGTTCGGAAAATCCCGAAGGGTGATTTTCCTAACAAAGATCCCATATAATAAAATAAACTTTTTTTTTTTTTAAATCATAATAATAAAAATATTTTAGGTATGCTTCCGTCGTCGTGACAGTGTATCTGAAATTTCTCAAAAAGATGTTGATCGAAGACGAGAATTTTTCCGTGAACGACGGAAAAAACGGGTAGGATCCATGTTATCTAAACATTAGTTTAAAAAAGGTGCTTGATAAAAATTTCATATTTTTTTTTTTTTTTTATTATTTTAACTTGTAAATGATATAGTATAATTTTTTACAATAGTAAAATATTGTTTTATATATTTGAATTTTTATCACTTTACAAATATAAACTGTACATGTAGACATTTAGTAAATTCACATTATTGAGAAATATTTTGAAATATTTAGAAATCTTAAAATAAATTATCTTTTATTTTATTTTTTTATCCTTATAAAAAATTATGATTATAATACTCCCATGTAACTTTATTAACTTTATTTCATAATCTTTATTTATTTTTTTTTTTTATAAAAAAAAAAAAAGGATTCGAAAAAACAAAAACCCAAACATAGGAGTACCTATCTTAAGAAGATTTCTGACTTTATATTTAGTTATGAATGATGAATTCATAAAAAAAAAAGTTATTATTCTTCTTTTAGGATTAATTGTTCTAGAGATTTATAAATTTTAGATAAATTTTATCAAATGAACAATAAAACAAATGTTAATAAAATAGTTTAAATATATAAAAAATATATATATTTTTTACTAGATAATTGTAACAATTGCGTATCTTTATATTCTCAAATAAATGAATCTATTGTAATTCATTTCTTTATCTTCTCAAATAAATGAATTTATTGTAATTCATTTATTGTAAACAATTTTTTCTATTTGTAACCATCGAAAATAGACACGTTACGAACACACGTGTATTTGAGATACATAACTTTTAATAATATCAATACCGTAATACCAGATACCCCAGATAATGTAGTCAGGAAGACCCGAAGGCTTCTACGCAGGAACAAAAATATACATAAATGCAAAAAATTAATCTACATAAAATTTCAAAACATTAATGCTTAAATGTAAAGATCGCAAGGGGGTGCATTTTTATTTTCCGAGAACTCTGAAAGGTTCTAGGAAAAACAGTACATACATATATACAGTAAAATTCCCTCAAAATTATACGTTGTATACTTTATGCGAGGGGGTTAACCTTCTTGGATTTTTTTTTAAAGATAATTTATTAAAAGTATCAAAGATTTTTTTTTCTCACCTTTAATTCGCGTATTTTTTATAGTAAGAATTATATATTTTTAATCTTTTATTTTTTTACATTTATTTGATTACAGTATACAATAATATATATTTTTTTATAACCTATTACTAATTTTTTTTTAAAAAAAATAAGCTAAAGTTTCTAACCTAAAAAAAAAAAATCTCTATCGCTATTGCGAAAAAGTTACTAATAGATAAATAAATGTACTTTTTACTTTTCATATTTTTGATTATATAAAGTATTTTCTTTTGTATAATAAAAAAGTATTTTTTTTTTTTAATAAAGAAATTATTATTATCAGTTATTATATTGTTATTATTATTATCCCAAATATCATCAATAAAAAAAAAAAACCATCTTTCATATTTTTCCTAAAATTATTAAATATGATTAACATTATAAGGACTCATTGTTGGATACGCAGGTGTATTCTCAATATAAGTTGTTGATAATGATCCTATAGTTGTTATGTAAGGGTTCGAATTTTCTTTAACATGAGGTGAAGCGGGAAGAAGTACTGGTGATTCTATTTTTGATATTATTGCAGTTGCCGATAGTGATGTACGTCGAGGTTGTGGTGGTCTTGGTGACATTTTACGAGCATCAGCTAATGAAATAGTATTTATATTACTTGAACTGATTACTGGTGCTTTAAAATAAAAAATATAAAAGAATATTGATTAATTTAAATATTAAGAATCGAATAATATATATATATATATTTTTTTCTAATAAAAAAATCCAAGCATACCATTATAATCTCGAGATATCGTAGCTTTCATCATTGCCTTTATCCATCCTCTCATTAAGTCAACGTCGTCATGCGCAAAATAATGAGTTCGAAGTACATCATGAACTATCTTAAATCCATATTTTCCAAGAAATATATTCTCATCAGTTATAATACGATATCCTGTTAAATCAATATGACCTTTTAATTTAGGACGTTGAATATCCTAAATGTATGTATTAATTATATTTAATACATAAGTATAATTAAATGTAAAGGTAACATAACAATAATAATAAAAACTTACCTTATTGTTTTTGAGATAATAGAGGTCTGCACCTTTCAATATAAAATAACGAGATTTCCATGTTTTATATTTATCTCCTTGTTTTTTAAGCCATCCCTCATAATCAGGTTCTCCAATTGATTTCAATACTTCTACATCCATGATACTTAAATCTTCAATGGCTTCCCATTTACTTGTATAAGAAGGACTTCCAGGTCTACTGGAGCTAAAATAAAGTCAAAAAAATTATATATAAATATAATAAAAATTTTAAAATATTGTTAAATTTCAAATACTCACTCGAAAGACTGTTTCGGGAAAATCACTGGACTTTTGGTCATACTATTTCTTGCCTAAAAGTAAATAAATAAATAAATAATTAATTAATTAATTAAGACAAAAATCTTTTTATAAATTCAAAAATAATTAATAAAAAAAAATAATCACCGGAGAATACTTCTTTTGACTAAATCTTGATTTTCGATTTTTTTCAAAACTTGGAGAATTTGATCGAAAATCACCATCATTAAAATTATTCTTAAATGTATGATCTTCCACTTGAATATTTTCATTATTCTAATAGAAAAAAAAAAAAAATAGATTATTACAATTACATTTAGTTAAAATTATAATTTTTTAACTTAAAATTTTCAATATTATTTTTAAATTAAATATACTAACATATCCAACATCAGAATTTGTTCGAGGTTTATATTTCTTATCTTTATTAGACTTTTTTAAAGAATTCCATTTTGACAAAATTTTATTTTTTTTAGATTTATTAACCGTCTATTTATGATAATAATAAATATTGTATAAGTTAAAAACCTTAAAAGATTTTGTTAATAATGTAAAGAAAAAAAATATATATTACTTCAATATTTGAATAATCAATATCTTCAATACGTTTTTGATTATAATAAGTAGGATTATTGCGAGGACTAGTAGGATTATTGCGAGGACTAGTAGGAATATTGCGAGGAATAGTAGGATTATTTCGAGGACTAGTAGCAGAATTCCTAGGTGAACCCGGAAGACCAGGGAATTGTCTAAAGTCAGGATTACCAGCAATTCTACCTAACACAGGGCTACTAGAATTATAATTTGATTGAAAACGATAAACAGAATTTGGGACATAAACTGAATTGGAATACTAAACAAAGAAATAAGTTTAATTGGAATAAAAATAAGGAAATGAAATTAGGAATAATAAAAATAAGGAAATGAAATTAGGAATAATAAAGATAGCGATAACTTTTTTTTACTAACCTCGTCAAGATCTGATACGTCATCATCGGGATCAGAACCAATTGAATATTTAGCTTTAAGTGCGTTTATGGCATTCATTATATGTACACGTTTTCCAAATGAAGCTACATTTAATTCTTTTAAAGTGGATAAATGAAGCTCGAGAAGAACATCGCCAGTTATATCATTATCTTAAAAAAAAAAATAAAAAAAAAAATAAGAAAATAAAAAAAAAAATACAAAACAATTAACAATTCAAAAAATTAACAATTTAAAAATTAGCAGTTAATAATTAACAGTCAATAATTGACAATTTAAAATTGACAATTCAAAATTAACAGTTAATAATTAACAGTTAACATTAATAATAATTAACAGTTAATAATTAAATTAACAGTTAATATATATAAAGAATTCTTACCAATAAAATTATTTATCTCAGAACCAAAACCCACCTCATCTAACCACCGACAAACTTGTCTTACATCCCAAGTTGATGGGTGATCTTTTATTAAAATAGTTTGTCTCGGTGAAATTAATTCATTAGGAGTTACAGTCGGAATTGGATCAGAAGGAGATTTTCTGTTAAATCTTTTTGTACTTTCAGTAGATTGTCGATTAGAAGATGTTAAACTACCAATACTACTAACAGATCTTGATGATGCTGATGAAAAAAATAATTTACTACGACGACTATTCCTTGGAGACCATGAATATTGTCGTGATTCATTATTATTTTGATTTAATTGTAATTGGTTTTCATCAGATTTTAAACTCATTTTTCTCAATTTATTTTGTATATCATCAATCGTTTCCTCTATAGAAGGTGTAGGCATTCTAAAGGGGGGTGAAGGAATGTCCAATTTTGAATCATCCAAATTTAATACATTATTAGGAGTTGCAACCATCTGACTATAAAAACTATTATTAGTGGATTCCAGTTGCCCTGGAATGGGTTTACTATAACTAGTATGATTCATTGGAAAAAGGCCAACTTTCCCATGAATATTTTTTCCCTGCATAAATTTAAAAAGTTAAAATAAGATAAATGGAAATTGAAAAAAAAAAAGGAAATGAGAATTCATCATGCAGGAATATTTATTTCGCCTTCTGACATCAACAATGTAAAGTCAAATGGAAATAAAAAGATGAATTCATACAAAAAAAGAAAGGAGAAGTCACCTGCCACCAACCATCCCCATATAATTCATCTTTTTCCAAAACGATGATCGGTTCACCAAATTCAAAAGGAACCTCATCATCATTTTCGGCTTCAAATGGATGAATTGCATATACTACTTCAAAGTCCATTTTTTAAAAATAGGAAATTCGATAATTAAACTTAATTATAGAAGTCAAGAAAAATAAATATTTCTTTTAAGACTTCAAACTCGTTATTATGATGTTTTAATTATTAAAATAAATAACAATTCAATGGTTTTACAAAAAAAAAAATTGTAACACGCATATGATTCTTTTATTAGCAAAAAGAAAAGAGAAGAAAGAGTAGGCGACACAAAGAGTAGTTTTACGATTTATAACAATTTATAAAAACCAGCTTTGTTTTCCTTTTTTTGAATTTTGCATGCAGGGACTTTTGGCAGAAAAAAATTCTAAACAAGTGTTAAAAAATAATTAAGGAAGTAGTTCAAACTAAATTTATTTATTTATTTGATCAACTTGAAGCTCCGACGTTTCGAGTTTCGGACGGTACTTACTAGGACTAGTCCATTGAATGCAAATAGGTAGTTTTTACAATGAAAACGTGACGTTATCCACTCATGCATTGTCACGATTGTTATACAGGTTAGTGTTTTTTTTTTTTTGTACAATTCCAATTGCATACTTAGAAAAACTATTGTTTTTTTTAAATCTGTGTTATTACTGTATTATTATTTGTAAAACCATATGATAACAAATATACTAGTTACCGGTACGTAACTGTTAGCATTTAAACATGATAAAAATTCTTGTTTCAAATACGTATCCATCTTTCTTTAGTCCGTCTTTAGTCCACCTTAACCACGCCAATAACTATAAGATAATCTGTTAGAGGTAATTTATAATATGCAGAATTATTACGATTTTCGTTACAAGAGATGAATTTTATTATTACTATGACCATAGAGGGAATAATTTTCATATGTACTAAAAAAAAAAAACAAAGCTGTTTCAGATCTTTTAGTTACAAACTACCGATATATTAATCGTGTAACCAAGTATTATATATACATTATCTATAGTTACTTACATAATTACAAAGTAATTTTATTGATCGATTGTTGTTCTATATTGAGAATTATATTATAAGATTTCTTTTACCGGTAAATACTTTATTAGCGTTAGTCAACTTTTTCTAAAAGATTTATTTATTTACAAAGTTGGTTGATTTATATATTTTTGACATTTGATAAGGGTCAAAAAAATAAACTCAGAAACATGCGTATGTCCAATGAGCTCATTTGACGTTTAATTACATTATATTAAAAAGTATTAAAATATTAAAGTTTTAAAATATTAAAAAAGTTTTAAAATATTAAAAAAAAAGTTTTAAATATTACTTTAAAGTATTATTAAAATGTTAATAATGTTTAAAAATGTTATAAAATGATAATAGTGCAATTATAATATTGTAATTATTGTAATTACTGTATTATTGTAATTATTGTAATTACTTATACAGTATTATATTATTGTAATTATAATTAAACATATACCTTTTTATATAAAAATCAGCTGTGTATGAACGTATAATTTGCTGATACTTCAAAGATTTTGTGGTCGATATAAGCGAAAGAAATTTGTAATTTTCTTATCAGTTATTTCATTTATTTCATTATCATGATTCACGTGAACTAACGCGACGTACGGTACCCTCTAACAAACAAACATGTATTAGTCTTATCTTTGAGTCATCACGAAAATTTATCATCTTTACGAGATTATTCCTTTTTTTCAAACAAGATTAACCGTTTAGGATTTCATAATCTTCACAAGATATCTTACTAATCTTATCGAAATCATCAAATCGACCAAAGGAATGATCTCATCAAATCAACCATACCAGATGTGTGCACGAATCGATCGAATTTTCGGTTGTCATCTTTTTGCGGTGATCAAAGAATTTCTGTCAAGAACGTAGTCACAGTTCCTAAATTTAAAAGTACTGCGATGAATCATTGTTTAAACGTTCCATTATTATCTCTCGAGAGAAAGGTCACATTTAATGTATTGTTTTCGCGGCGATTTCTTTCCGAGAACCGCTTTTTTTGTTGGTATGCTGCACGTCAACTTTCTTGACAAATCAAATAAATTATAGTACGAATAAAATTTGTGGGAAATTTCTTTAAGAGTTATTTTTGTTTCGAAAAAAAAAACCAGACAAAAAGAATCATTTGCAACAAGATTCACAAAATTGGCTAGCTTTTCATTTTCTCTATGTTTAAACCCTTCATGGCTCCTGGTCGTTCAAGAACACTTGACCAAATATAGTTCCGTTACCTTTGTTATTAAAGGATTTCAATATTATTTGCCGTAATTTCTTTAATTCAAAATATTATAATTTCTGCAAAAAATGTACTGAAATAATAATAATAATAAGATTTCTGTGGGAAAAAGTATCAAAAGATATATAAGAACCGCAGGGTTTGTATCACTTCTGAAAGAAAACTTCTTTTCATCAAAAAAAAAAAAAAAAAAAGAAACTGTATAACTTAATATACTTTTCTAATTTTTATATAATTTATATATACACTTTTTTATCTCTAAAAAAATAAAAGTTAAAAATTCCTGTTTATTAATTTATCAATAATATTATGAACTCTGCCGTGAGCATTGATTACGAATATACTAATTTATCATTTACGCCCGTTACAACTGTTCCTCCAACAAAGATACCATTGAGTGACGGTCAAGAAATTTTATTTGAAGACTGGATGCTTGATTTAACTGTCGAAGATTTTGTAAATGCTGGTTTGATTCCGATAGATAAAGCAATATCGTAGGTCAAATTATCCGTATTAAAAAAATAAAAATAAACAACGCGTTATACGTATTATCTTCTATATACCCTATATTTTCCATATCTCCTGTTTTTATTTCCTAAATTCTTTATATACTTTATATATACATCTATACTTTATTACCTTCTATTTTTAGCCTCGTAAAGCAATGGGAGGCTGAAGAGAGGATGGCTGCATCCGTAGATTATCACCCACAAATTATTGAAATATTATCGAATCCTCATATATCTGCTCGAAATCATTGTGTAAATTGTAATACTACAAAATCACCAGCTTGGAGAAGAGATGATCTTGGAAAACTTCTCTGCAATGCTTGTGGATTATAGTAAATTTATTTATTAAACCCTAATTTTTGATTGCTGCATAATATACAGTAATAATTTAGCCGCCCATTATTTTATTTTCTATAGTTTTAAGACCCATGGTAAGAATAGGCCAACCGATCAGATCAAATGTGGTACTCTTAAGTATAAGCGGCCAAAGAAACACCGCATATGCAAGAATTGTGGGGTAAATGAATCCTCCTGCTGGAGGAAAAATGGTACTTTGTGTAAGTGTATATAAATATTTTTTTTTTAATTTTTATATATCATTTTCATCAAACAAATTACTTTTTTAACGTATAAGGTAACAAATGCGGTTTACATGAAACACAATATGGACATCCAAGACCATCATCCTTTGATAAATTAGTTAAATCTTCAAAAGGAAATTCTCGAAATCGTTCTTGACGGTCAATTTCACGTGAATTTAAATTTTTGTATTATTGTACTTATTTGATTACGTTCTTATTTTTATACATATACATATTTGGAATTTATAATTTTTTTGTATAGTTCTTCAAATTCTCTTGTTCCCAGGCGGACTATAATTTGGTTCCCAGGTGGAATGATGTGTTTATTTAGTAATTTTTTTTTTTTTTTTATCTTTCTTGTATATGTATGTTTCAATCTTGTATTTACCTTTGTCTAGTATTAGTAAAATTAATTTGTTTTTAAGATATCGATATGTACATATATGTAAACTTGATGTAGAAGTAATGTAGTACTACGTACTCTCACAATGTTATCTTCATAACTATAAAAAAAACTCTTATTTTCGATTTCTTAAGTAATACTAGTAAAATTATATAGCATATTTAATTGTACGTAGGATGTTATCGGGAATGAATACGTAGGGCTAAATGTGTCTAACTTCTCTAATAATAGGCATAATAATACCCATAGAAATTACCATTGGTAGTAATTGTAATCGACTAAGCCTAATTTTTAAAAATATAGAAATTTATTCTATCGCTATATTATATATATATATATATATCAAATTAGAGGCTCGTGACCCGGCCCACTTTAATCTGTTTTTTTTTTTTTTTTTGACAGTCGTTTTGATATTTTTTTTTAAATTTTTTTTTGCAAACAATTCAAATTATTTTGAAATAATTATAAGTTTTAATTTATAAATTTTTTTTTATAAAATTAGCTCCTAAAGCAACATCGTTTTATGCGAAGCTCTTTAACAACTCGCATTAAAGATGCTATGTTTTCAGTATTTGGTGAAAGTTGCTAAGTGATTGCTATAAAAAATTAATTATGTCAGAAGAAATTGTAAAAAATAAACTAAAAGAAATTTTAGTAAGTAATATATAATATAAAATATAAATATTTAAATAATTTAAAAAAATTTAATTTAATTTTAAAAAATTCAACCCTTACTACACTAACTAGGTCTAAAAAAAATAGTAGTTATATTAAAAAACCTGTCAAGATGAAAAAAAATTAAAGTTTTTCATCCTTCTAATGCTTTCATTCTTTACTACTATTATAAGTAAAATAATTTCTATCATGAATAACTTTTTATCTACTGGTCCAATTTTGATAAAACACATACCATTAGAATCCTCTCACTGAGATAAATCTAATGAGCTTAAAATCATCCAAATCCAATTACTAGATACCAAGATATAGAAGTTTTGAATTGTGTAACTTACAGAAGGTACATGATTGTATAATGATTTATTTTATTTCTGTATTCAAAATCTACTAGTTCTACTAGATCTTGAATTTCTATACAACCTATTAGATATTTAGGATCTACAATAACTGTTATTTTTTTAATAATTATTATATCTTTAATATATAATAGATATAATATATTTTTTATATCTTTTAGTTATTTTATATATATTATTATTATTAATATAGCTATATTTAGTATGTATTAAATATATAATAGTATTTTATTATTATTTTATATATAATTCTTGTATCATAAAAAGGCTATTTTTTTGTCTTGCTAAAGCAGAAACAAGTTTCTTTCTATTTTTTAATAAACAAATATAATATTAATATTCTCATATATTAATAATTGTTTTTTAATTGTCTCAAGTATCTTCATATACTATAAACTAGATATAATTATTAGTGTCTTTATATATTATTAATTGTTTACTACCTCTTTTACTAAGCAATACTCTAATCCTTTTAGTAAGTCTTTTTAGATATTATAAACTAAAAGCTATATTAAGATTAGTTATTATACTAGTCTCAGCTAGGTATTAAGAATTCTATAAAGGATAAATTCCTAGTATTGATACTACTAAACTAAATAAGCACTGATTTTAAGCTATTTGGTATTTTTAGATCGAATATAAGTTAATTTTTTTGGCTGATTTGACTTGAATTTAACCAAAAATTTGAAAATTCAACCTCAAATCAGAAGTTAAACTTCATCTTTTCAATTAGTATAAGTTCATTTTAATATACTCTTTAAAGTAATAATACTATTTTTTTTATTTTTATTGTCTAGAGTATGTAGAAGTCTTGGCAAAGTTCTGTTTGCATCATGCATGTCATATAATACAACAAATTTCTTATAGCAGTTTCAGTTAAACAAACCTGACATGTTAGTGCACTATGTACCTCTAATCACAAGATATAAATAGTGATTATCAACAACATTTTTTTTGTTCATTGTTTTAACTTGATATATATATTAGTTATTAAACAGTTAATATTTTTGTTTTATAGAAACATCATTAGATATCATCGTTATTATTAGAACTGTCATTTTTATTTTTTTAGATTTGATATCATCATTGTTATTGAAGCTACTTCTTTTAATTTTGGATCTGGTGTCATCATTTTGGTTTTGTCTTTGGTACCTTGGTAGATTAGATGTTGTCATTTCAGCTTCGTCTTTAGTATCTTAGTAGGTTAGATACTGTTGTTGTTACTACTTTTAGTAGGAATATATATGTCATTATTAGGTAAGCCAGTTTAGTTTCACTTCTTGTCTGTTGAATTTGTTCTTCTGATAAAACTATTTTTAGTTCTTTAAGTTTATTTTTACATGTCATTACATGAATATTTGCATATTTTATTTGTTCTTATATTCTGGTCTATGAATATATTACAAATGACTATTCTTTTTTCTAGAACGTTCATGAAATTGTTGTGTATATATTTTGAGAATTTGGAAAAGTATAATTTTATTTGTTCTTTGGTCTTGTTTTTTCATTAAAGTATTACTAACAATTGTTCTTTTTGTTCTAGGTTTTGCTAGGTAGCTTTGAACTTTCTTAGAATATATATCTTGAGAATCCTGGGAGTATGATTTATATAATTATTGTTTTGTTTGTTTTTGCTTATAAATATATTACTAACGCTTCTTTTTAGGAGTTTTAGAGTATCTTTGAATTTTTCGAGAACTATAGCATATTTCTTGCAAATCAAGTATATTTTTCATTATTGCTTTTTAGTTTGTAAATAAATATGTTATTAACACTTTTTATTTTTCTAATTTAGAATATTTTTGAGCTTTCTTGAGAACTATAAAGTATAGTTATCATTTTATCATGCTGTTGGAAATTATAGATGACTGTTTTTTGAATTCTCTATTATAAAGTGGTCTATGATACCATTAGAGAATTTTATTGCTTTCAGTGCTATATCTTTAAATATTATCGTTAGAGATTTCAACACTCTTAGTGCTATTTGTTTTTTTTGGTGCTGTTCATCTTTCAGTGCTGCTGTTTTAGTTTTCTAAATTATAGTTTCAGTATTGTTTGTAAGTATGGAATTTTGTATATATATTGTCATTAAGTTTAGTATAATTTAGCTATATTGTGTTATATCATTGTTATGTATTATATAGGTTATTATTAGATAAAACGTTTATTATATAATAACATCATTATATAATAATATTTGTGTTAATAGTTAGTTAAGGCTAGAGTTAGGTTCAGGTTAGGATGATTTGTTTAGGTTAAAGTTAGAGGTTTTTAATGTAAAATCGTTTTATTATATAAATAAAAATTGATTAATTTTATTTAAATAAATAATATTAAAAGAATAATCTGTGACTAGTATCATTAAAATTATAATATCGAATTATTGATGAGTAGTAGCTTTTATATATTGAAAGTTAATTGAATAGTATATTTACAAGTAGATCTTTATATATTAAATATTAGTCAATTGTCATATCGAATTATTAATGAGTAGTAGCTTTTATATGCTAAATATTGATCGATTGGTATAAAGAAATATTTATGAGTAGATCTTTATATATCGAATATTAGTCAATTAGATATTGAATAATTAATGAGTAGTAGCTTTTAAATATTGAATATTAGTTAATTAGCATATCAAATTATTAATGAATGTTCACTTTTAAATATTATCAAATTTGGTTGATTACTGAATGCTTTATGATTTTTATTCTAAATGTTTGCTGAATATCATATACCAAGTGATAGCCAAGTAGCAGATTTGTACTAAACAGCACTTATTCAGCCAATATTCAGCTAATATTTATCTACTGAAAAATCATTAATTATTTAGCTAATTTTTATACAACTATCATTATATCAAATAGCACAATTTTAACCAGTATTAATTCTGTTGACAGTAGAATTTGAACTCTAGACCTCTTGTATAGTAGTCTAACAATCTAACTACTATACTAAAATTACTGAATCTATATAGTCTATATTGAATTTTATGTTTATATATATTATACAGATTTGTAAAATAATATGCAATATCTTTTAATATTTTTAAACTAAAAATAGTAATTATTCAATAACTTATATAATAATTTGTAATAAAATATATATTATCATGAAGCTAATAACCTTCTAACAATTTTTATTATAGATTTAAAAAGAACTGAATACTTCTTAGTTTGCTATTACTGTTCTAGCTAAAAAAATATATACTAACTACTATAAAACTATATAATTAATAACTATAAATAAATAATAAGATATTTTTTTTATTTATTTTTTTATTTTTAAAGTAGCTTATATTGCCAAGCAGATTTTATTAGTTTGATATATGAGGTTTCATATAGAGTTTCACTACAGTTTGTAATTATATAAAGAATATATAACAAACTATATATACAACTTTATTTATTGTCTAATTTAAGTAGTCTATTACATAGGCAATAGACTAGCTGATTAGTTTTACACTATGTTACTATACCTGTAACCTGCCTATGAAGTACCTATTTAAATATTCTATTCAACTAATCTATACTATTACAAACTAATATTACTATAACATTTAATTGCTTAAGCTAGTTAGCTCATTACAGATCTATTTACTAACTTTAGCTTAGATACTCTTGAGATACTTATTACTCAATATTTTGTGAGCATACAGAGCTCCAATTAACCTTGAAGTATATTTACTAGAGTAGTCTGTACTTATTTCATAAATTTACTTAG